ATAATAATAATAATAATAATACAATTTTTGTCATGTTAAAAATTAATTTTATTTTTTTCTCTCCTTATAATCATTTTAACAATTATATTAATATTAACAATTATCATTTTATATTATTTTTACTATTATTTTTATTACTAAGATAATCTTTAACTTCTATCAATTAAACCGTAGACTCATGTCACACACATGAAAAAACTCATAAATGAACTCTTTATATAAAAGAACTCATTAATAATATCATACTAACATAATAACAACATCATAATCACAAACAAATGATATAAGAATGGTTAAACAGTTATAACAACAAGATATAAGTAAAAAATCACCATAATTTTAAGATTTTAGATTAAAAATTGTATCAAATAACATAGATAAAATAAGTCTCTTCACACACATAAGAGAGGGTTTCTATGATATCTTAAATGTCTCTATATTTTCTGTTAATCACCTTACCATGCCAACTTAATTAACTTTTCTACTTTGTTTTCCTGCTAAATTTTGTATTTTTTTTTTATCTTTTCAAATTTTTTCTCTCTTAATTCTTCTATCATTTCGGATAAAATGTTAGTTTTTCTCTTTGTCGTATTTCTCAACTTTACTTCTTATTTTGGTTTGGAGTTGAGATTATCGGTTTTATTGTAGAATGTATATATTATCTTTCAAGTATTAATTTTCGTGATCATGAATGTCCTTAGTTAAGATGTGAGGTTATTTGTAGAAAATATTCCTATATTAAAGTCAACGATCAATCAACAATTATATTAATTAATATATATTAAATATAATTATATATTTTTTATCTCAAATTCATATTTATAGTTTTGAAAATAACTTTTAAATCAGTAACAATTTAATTACAATTTAATTGATAATAATCATATTTTATTCTAAACTAATTCATGTTGATAATAGTTTTGTAAAAATTGAATAGTTACGCACATCATGACAAATAACCTTCGAATTTCTTCTAATTTATTGCCTAACCTGACTGTACGGTAGGGTCATATAATACACTTCTTCTATCAATTATTGTATTGTCTAGGCTAAATACTTAATTATTGCATCTTTTATCTTTTTCTATTTTGTCTTTTTTATCCATTCCCGTACTCCACACGACAAACAATTAATTCTTGTTGCTTTATCATCAACTTTGTTTTGTTTAGTAGAAACAATCTTCTTTTTCATGAATTTTGCTTTTCTATCAATTCTGGCACTATTTCGGGCAACAATTAATTATTGTTTCGTCAAATGTTTTTCTTCCCATTCTTGTATTATTTAGAGTAAATTTTATGCTAGACATGTTAAGAATTTAAAGTGAGTCAAAAAATATATATTAAATAAAAGTAAGTAAATTAATAATGTATAAATAAAAGAATTTATACATTTATTATTCTTAAGTTTTAAAAAATTAAATAGGATATTATAATATCAGTTAAAATTTATTAACATGAAATCTTCTTTGTATTTTAAAAGAAAGAAAAAAGCTGATAATATAAGAATGATGGAAAAGATATATTAGACATATTATATAGACTATGATTGACTGTCAAAAACGACTTTTGAATATCAGTTATTTAATAATGGATGGTGAAAGCTAAAAACATATCATATTGCTTTGGTGAAATCTGAGCAGCTTGAGTTCACTCGGGTTTACTGGGTATGGAAAACATGGACATTTTTTTAAGATTGAGTAAAGACAAGGTGACATACTTTTATTTTCATTTAATATATAATATAAAGATAAAATTATGGTTATAAAGAAATGAATTTTTATATTTTTTTAAAAGAAAGAATAAAAAGTAAAGAAAATTAATATTAAATAAATGCAAATAATTTATGTATTTATGATATTCTTTTAAGATTTGTTGGTTATAAGTAGCGGAACGTTTGTGTGGTGTGTGGTGCTAGGTGGGGTTCAACATCATTTCATTGAGATGTTGGGAAGGCTTTGTTTGGAGAAGGCTCCACTGATGGAGTGGTGGATCCATGTACCGCCTCTGGAATGCTCTTTCATAATGTTAACATTAATCATGACACGTTAAAATATTGTCAAAATTTTCCTTTCTTTTATAATAACTTATTAGCTCTAAATTTTTTAATTGAAAAAAGAAAAAGAAAAAATGTGATTGTTCCCCACCTTTTGTGCACTACAAAAGTTTCACAATGACTTTTATATATATTTGGAATGCCATTGTATAGTCTTGTTTTTGTTTTTACTAACGATAGAATGACATATTTTTATATTTATTTGATGTATAATGTAAAAATAAAATAATTATAAAAAAAGTAAATTTTTGTATTTAAAAAAAGAATAAAAAAGTAAAAAAATGTAGTGTCAATTTCTGATCATTTGGAAGTTAATCCACAACATTATTGCTCAAAAACACAATTAAATAAAGTCAATTTTATTTTTATCTTTTAAAAAGCCTATTATTAATCCGTTAAAAAATTAATGGATCGGTGAAATATGAAAAGAATTGAAAAGTTTGATGATAAAATACATGATAAAAAAATTTTGAATGGTAAAATTTATATAATGATAACAGTTAACTAAAATATATTTGAGGTTAAATATCATAAAATATATTTTCTCTGTACGAAATAGTATCCTAACATATAACAACAAGATTAACTTTCATCAATTTTAACATAGACTAGTGTTCATCTTTTGCTTTTCACAAATACAAAACTTTATTTCTTCTAGTAGTCATTATTTTTAAACAAGAAATAAAGTGATTAATAATGGAGGGTCAAACATGAATTCTCGAAACAACACACACTAAGAACACAATATAAACATAACTTATTTGAGAAGTTTCAGTCATTCAACAAAAACAGATAAAGTGTGGATGAATTCATGCATATTTAGTAGCTATATGCAGGAGAGAATGAGATAGTTCTTGTGGCTTGCTAATCATAAGCATATGGTCTGCACCTTTGATCTCCAGAACCTCCACATTCATTCCAGCATTTTGAATCATCCAGAGCTGAAAATTCAGTGGAATTTCATTGTCTTCTGTGGAAACAATAAAAACAAGAGGAACTGACCCATATCTCTGCATTGAGAAGTTGGTCTGTTGGGACAAGTCTTCTATAAAGAGGGATCCTGGTCTTAATAAGATCGTCGCCAATTCTATATCCTGCAAAATCCGATCACTATTACAAAACCATGTCACTTGGTTTGGACAATATTAATAAGATTTTTACATCTACTTACCTCAATGGAAGAAGCTTGGTACAGTTTCTCGGACAGGAATTTGGGACCGAACACAATTGTCGTTTTATTTTCACCCTTAGAGAACTCAGTGTCCAACCAATTCGTTCCCAAGGTACTCTCAATCAACTAAAGAAAAAAAACAAAATCACTATAATAAGTTAATATTTCTCACTTTTTAAAAAACTAAATAAATTATAAGATGTAAATGTGGACTCAATCTATTTACAAAATACTAACTTTTCATTTGATTTAGGAAAATGATATTTTGATATAGGTTTTTTTATGTAATAATATATTATATAATAAATAATTCACGGACTTATTATACAACTACTTCGTAATATTATCATCAATATGTCATACCCTCAATACATTATAATAATTTATTTTGCATAAAAAGGCATATTAACATATGTTAATTGAAAAAACATTAGTAAATGACTTTTTTATGACTATATATGCGCGTGAATATTTTGTTGGCTAAAGTTAAAAAATGTTAATAAGTATACTGTACATATAACGATATTTTACTTCAACAAAAAAAAAACATTATCTTTAGTATACTTATTAAAATAATTTGAAACAAATTAGAAAATTTATTACAATGAAACAATTTTGCACTCAAATTACACAAGGGAAAAATATTAACTTTACCTGTCTGGGTAAGTAAAACCACGATAACACGACTTCATGAAGAAATCACACTATGAGAAGACGACATATAGGTCAAACACCTCTTCGATTAGTGTTAAATGAAGAGTGAAAAATAAAAGAATGAACTTAATAAAAGAAATTGAAATTAAACTTTAATTTCAACATTGCCTATATGGACTTGGACAACTAGTCCTTTTATAACCTTCATTCATACAATAAGTATTTTTTTTTTCTTATTTAGACTTGGATAGTATTTAGTTTTCTTGATTACTTACGTTGAATGAGGAGTCATATATGAAATTTAGTCCTATATAAGTAGATAAATAATCATTTGTTACTACCAAGGGTAGGCAACCGATCGTGGAGTGGGTTATTACCGAGGGTAAGCAACCGACTACGGATGGAGTTATTACTGAGGGTGAGTAACCGACCGCAGCTTGTGTGGCTACCGAGGGTAGGCCACCGATCGGGTGGTTGATAACATAACCGATCGGGTAAGCACGAGGAAAGGAGATTGCAGACAGCCGTTAAATGTTCATGAATGCGTGGTTAATGAGGTAACGGTCCTTGTCGAGTATTTAAAGTGAGCATTGAAAGCCATTAAAAGGTAAATTAATGAATAATATTCCCTGTAATTGTATAAATAGAAGTCAAAGGGGAAGGTAAATGTTCTGTTCAATTTTATAATTATAGACTTGCGAGAGCTCATTCTGACTTGAGCGTCAAAGTGTTTGCTGCAGGTCAACCCATTTACACTGATACCGAGCGCAGAGGAGGCAAGAAGAGGAAGACCGATCGGAGGAGGAGGAGTGTTTCTGGACGGAGGTAGCAAGAGTGTTCCCCGGTCCCGTTCAGCAGAAACATTTTGGCGCCCACCGTGGGGCCGAGGGAAGTAGAAGATAACCTTTACGACCATAGGGATGGATCAAGACCCAGCTGCGTTTATACAGGAGATGAGGAGAAGAATGGAGGCTATGCAGGCGAAAATAGAAACTTTGAGGGCTGAGCGTGATGCGGCTAGAGGGGCGCAAGCTAATCGTCCTGCGCGCGCCTTGTCACCAGTGGTGGAGATGTCGGAAACTGATCCGAATTCAGAAGATGGTACGGACCCGATGACTAGAAGTTATGATCAAGAGAGGGAGCAGAGTGAGGTCGAGTCGCATCGGGCTGCTAACCGTCCGGCCACGGCTGGTCGGGTTAGAGCATTGCATCCGTTCACGGCCACAATCATGGCGGAACAGATTCCGGACCGAATGTTCCCAACCTTGGACAAATATGATGGCTCGGGTGATCCGGAAGAGCATTTGAGGTCTTTTGTGGACGCGATGACCGTTTATTCGCCCAGGGAGAATGTATGGTGTAGGGTTTTTTCTTTGTCAATAAAAGGAGAAGCCTTAGCTTGGTTCCACTCACTGAGACCTCGAACCATCAATAGTTTTGCTACTCTAAGGGATATGTTCGAACGACAGTTTTCGGCAGAACGAGCGCGAAATCTGACGTATCTAGAGTTAACTAATATAAAGCAGGAGAAAGGAGAAAGTCTTAGGGCTTTCATGGACAGATTCAACCGAACCGCTCGACAAGTAAAGGGGGTAGGCAAGAAATTTACCATTAGCACTCTGGCAACCGCGCTGAGGCCTTCCCAATTTGCTGACAACCTGTTCGCGGAGCCTCCATTAACTCTAGATGAGTTACAAGAGAGGGCTGCTAGGTTCATAAGGATAGAAGAGATGAGGGCGGTACAGCGAAGGCAGCAAGAGCAAGGGACGAGCGCGGGGCAGGAGAAGAAAGAAGGCAAGAAGCCGTTCGTCCCAAGCGAACGGCCAAAAGGTCAAAAATTTAGAGATGGCCCGAAGGGGGGTAGGTATGAGCGATACACCCCGCTGAACGCACCGAGAGCGAGGGTGCTTGAGGAAGCCCTAAGTGCGGATCTGTTGAAGGTGAGACCTTCCAAGTCATCACCAAAGGCAGATGGAACTAAACACTGCACATATCACTTGAACATAGGACATAGCACCGAGGAGTGCACGGTGTTGAAAGATAAGGTGGAGGAATTGATCCGAGCGGGTCATTTAAGGAGATTTGTGAAGGAAGAGAGAGGGACAAGAAGTTCACCCAGGAGGACTCGGGTGGAAAGAAATGATAGAAGAGAGGACCGGCGTCCCGACCGCAGGAGGAGTAAAAGCCGCAGCCATGACCGATCGCTGCGAGGGACAATAAACACCATCTCGGGTGGATTTGTGGGGGGGGCGTCCGCTTCCGCGAGGAAGAGAAACTTGCGGGAGCTTAAGAGCGTTCATAGGGTGCAGGTGAGAAAGCGACACATGCCGCCAATCACATTCACAGATGAAGATTTTCATGCTCCCGATCCAGATGAAGATGACCCGATGGTGATAACGGCAGTTATTGCCAGGTATAGCGTGGGAAAGGTGTTAGTGGATCAAGGCAGTTCTGTCAACATCTTGTACTTGAAAACATTCCAGCAGATGGACATATCAGAGGACCTGATCGCCCCATACAACGAATAGATAGTGGGATTTTCGGGGGAGCGAGTGGACACCAGGGGGTATGTGGATCTTAGAACATGCCTAGGGACCGAACGGAGTAAGGAAGTGAAAATCAGGTTCTTACTGGTGGATGCTAACACTTCCTATAATGTGTTGTTGGGACGACCATGTCTCAACGCATTTGGGGTGATCGTCTCCACGCCTCACCTCACACTGAAGTTTCCACTGGACAATGGAAACATCTGTGCCGTTCGATCGGATCAGAAGATCGCGCGAGAATGCTATATGGCAGGTTTGAAGGTTCAACCATCATCGTCGGGTTCGCGCAGTCGGAGTAGGAGGAGACGATCGGAGGTAGCAATGGCAGACTTAGATCCAAGGACGAATACTGACGATCGTATGGAACCGATGGGGGAGACGAAGCCCTTCCGTTTGGGGCCAAAGGAGGAACAAATTACAACCATCGGGAGCGAATTGGAGGAGGACCATGCCAATTTAATTGGCACTTTGTTGAAAGATAACAAAGATTTGTTCGCCTGGATTGCAGCTGATATGCCAGGAATCCATCCGAGGGTAATGTCACATAAGCTGGCATTGTTCAAGGAAGCCCGACCGGTAGCCCAGAAGAAAAGAAGAATGGGGGAGGAGAAGCGGTCGACAATAGCAGTGGAGGTGAAGAAGCTGTTGGAGGCTGATTTCATTCGGGAAATCAAGTACACAACGTGGCTGGCGAACGTGGTGATGGTGAAGAAGATGAATGGAAAGTGGAGGATGTGTACCGACTTCACCGACTTAAATAAGGCCTGTCCCAAGGACTCTTATCCACTACTAAGTATTGATGCGTTGGTGGATGGAGCGTTAGGGTTTCAAATGCTAAGTTTCCTGGATGCTTATTCAGGATATAACCAAATCCCAATGTTCCCACCCGACAACGACAAAACGGCGTTCATCACCGAGCGGGCAAACTATTGCTATGATGTTATGCCGTTCGGGTTGAAGAATGCAGGGGCCACCTACCAACGGCTGATGGACAGGATATTTGCTGACCAGATTGGTAGGTGTATGGAGGTATATGTGGACAACATGGTGGTGAGAAGCCGTTCGGTAGAAGATCATGTGCGAGATCTGGCAGAGGTTTTCCAGCAAGTTCGCAAGTATGACATGCGCCTCAATCCGGCTAAATGTACGTTCGGGGTACCAGCAGGAAAGTTTTTGGGATTCCTGCTAACAACTAGAGGCATTGAGGCGAACCTTGATAAATGCCAAACGATATTGGAAATGAGGAGTCCTCGCAAGTTGAAGGAGGTTCAGAGGTTGGTAGGAAGACTCACCTCCTTATCCAGATTTCTCCCCAAGTTGGCCGAGCGGATAAAACCGATAGTGAGAATCATGAAGAAGAGTTCAGGCACGGATTGGGACGACCAGTGTGAGCAAGCCTTTAACGAGGTAAAGCACATGTTGGTCAGCCCACCGGTCATGGGGCGACCCGAGGAGGGACGCCCGTTACAGCTATTCTTGGCGGTTTCGGAGGACACGGTCAGCTTGGCATTGGTGCAGGAGCAGCCTGAATTCAAATTGGTGTACTTTGTCAGTCGCACATTGCAGCCGACGGAGACTAGGTACAAAAGGGTGGAGAAGATTGCTTTAGCCTTAGTGGTGGCAGCAAGACGCTTAAGGCCGTACTTCCAGAGCCATCAGGTAGTAGTGCGAACGGACCACCTGATCGCAAAAATCTTGCACAAACCTGACTTGGCAGGGAGAATAGTAGGATGGTCTGTGGAGTTGTCAGAATTCGGACTCCAATTTGAGCTGAGGGGATCAGTCCGAGGGCAGCATCTGGCTGATTTTGCAGTTGAGTTACAAGAAGAAGAAGGACCTTATGAATGGATCCTTTATGTGGACGGCTCTTCGGAAAAATCTGGTGGAGGAGCAGACATTGTTTTGGAGGGACCGGACGACTTTATTGTCGAACAGGCAATTGTCTTTCGATTCAAGATAAGCAATAATCAAGCCGAGTATGAAGCTGTACTAGCCGGGCTCGAATTGGCCAAAGACTTGGGAGCAGCTTCGGTCAAATGCCGAACGGATTCTCAACTGGTGGTAGGACAACTGACAGAGAGCTTCCAGACCAAAGATGATCAGCTGCTTCGCTATTTCCACAAGGTGAAAGAGTTAGTGAAGCAGTTTAGGACGGTTGAGTTCAAACATGTGCCGAGGGAGCAAAATGCGAGGGCGGACATCTTGTCCAAGCTCGCCAACAGCAAAGGAAAAAATCACTTGTCTTCCGTCATAAGGCAAGTCATGATGAACCCATCGGTGGAGAGCTTGGCCGTTCATGAGATATCCGCTCCGCCTGACTGGAGGAAAGAAATAAGAGAGATTATTCAGAGTCAGGAGGGTGGACTACATGTTCGAGCACAGGAAGCAAAGAAGGCCGCTCGGTATCTAATGATAGAAGAAGACCTTTATAAAAGGGGATTCTCTAGCCCTTTGTTGAAATGCTTATCTACGGAGGAAGCGGAATATGTCATGAGGGAGTTGCATGAGGGAGCGTGCGGCATGCACACAGGACAATGAGCGTTGCGGGCCAAGGTGATACGAGCAGGATATTTCTGGCCGACGGTGGAAAAATATTGTAAAGTGTTCGTGCAGAAATGTTTGAAATGTCAAGAACATGGCCGAAACTTCAATCGGCCACCGGAAGAGCTACACAGCTTGATGTCACCGTGGCCGTTCGCGCAGTGGGGAATGGACATTGTCGGACCTTTTCCAGTAGGACGAGCGCAGAAGAAGTTCCTGCTGGTGGCCATTGATTACTTCACCAAGTGGGTAGAAGCGGAGCCGCTCGCAACGATCACTGCCGCTCGGGTACAGAAGTTCGTATGGACGCTCATGTGCAGATACGGGATTCCTAAAGTAATAGTCACGAATAACGGACGGCAATTTATTGACAAGCATTTGGGAGAATTTTACAAACGATTGGGAATTAAACATGTGACAAGCTCGGTAGAACATCCTCAAACGAACGGTCAAGTGGAAGCGGCCAATAAGGTCATCGTGGGCGAGCTAAAGAAAAGACTTGGGGAAGCCAAGGGCCTATGGGTAGATGAGTTACAGGAGGTCCTGTGGGGGTACCGCTGCACGCCGCATGGTACAACAGGTGAAACCCCATTTAGTCTAACATATGGTGTAGACGCGATGTTGCCGNTATACAACTACTTCGTAATATTATCATCAATATGTCATACCCTCAATACATTATAATAATTTATTTTGCATAAAAAGGCATATTAACATATGTTAATTGAAAAAACATTAGTAAATGACTTTTTTATGACTATATATGCGCGTGAATATTTTGTTGGCTAAAGTTAAAAAATGTTAATAAGTATACTGTACATATAACGATATTTTACTTCAACAAAAAAAAAACATTATCTTTAGTATACTTATTAAAATAATTTGAAACAAATTAGAAAATTTATTAGAATGAAACAATTTTGCACTCAAATTACACAAGGGAAAAATATTAACTTTACCTGTCTGGGTAAGTAAAACCACGATAACACGACTTCATGAAGAAATCACACTATGAGAAGACGACATATAGGTCAAACACCTCTTCGATTAGTGTTAAATGAAGAGTGAAAAATAAAAGAATGAACTTAATAAAAGAAATTGAAATTAAACTTTAATTTCAACATTGCCTATATGGACTTGGACAACCAGTCCTTTTATAACCTTCATTCATACAATAAGTATTTTTTTTTTCTTATTTAGACTTGGATAGTATTTAGTTTTCTTGATTACTTACGTTGAATGAGGAGTCATATATGAAATTTAGTCCTATGTAAGTAGATAAATAATCATCATTTTAAACTAGATGAAATTTAATATTATAAGCCTTCTAACTATTGTTGAAGTTGTAAACTAACTCAACCAATGTCATTAGCTTGAAATGATAATATAAATAAACATTTATAACATTAAGACAAGGTAATCAAAAAAGAGTTTGAAACTCCTTATAAGGATGATAATATGGGAGGTGAGACATGGATAATCTCTACCTACTACGTGATCCGAAACAAACAATTTATCTATTATTTATTCTATTACTTATTCTGTTATCCATCCTATACTTATTTAAAAAATATTCATGAGTTTTGAAAAACTTCCGACTGATATTTAAAAAAGAAATATTTTATAAATTTTTAAAATAAAATTACAAAATATATCAAATAAAATAATAATTAAATTTAACCTAATAAAATATAAATTAAAATTTAATTTTAATTAAATTTAATTTAATAAAATATAAATTAAATTTTAATATTATTTTTTAGTGAATAACAAATACCTACAATAAATATGAGTCGTTTGATATTTGCATTCAACCGGTTTATAAACCGATATTAAAATATACATTATCTATTACTCTTAAATAATACATACTCACAAACATCAACTATCCACCATGAATTTTCACAAACATCAACCATAAATTTTAAAAGTTCGTTGAGAGGTGGCATTTAAAAAAATCAGTAGCACCTAGACAAAAAAAATCATCAAACGGAAAGAAGATAAAAAATTGTTTTCCTCCATACTTTATTTTCCTTTCATCTAGTATTGAAAACAAATAAAAGGTCAAATTAATTTATAAAAAGATATATTTAATTAAATTTAAATTATACAATAAATTTAAATATTTAAACATTTAATCATAGACATTATTTCTATTTTTTGGTCTTGTGAATAACCATGCTATTTTCCATAAACAAATTGATTACAGAATTTGAGAAAGTTAAAAAAAGAAATAACGAGCACATTATCTTATTAACAGAAGAATCAATCAGTAAAAATACTAACAATAAAAATACTTAAATAGAAATAAAATTAATTTTAGACACTTAATAAAATAAATATAAATAAATATTTATAATAAAATGAAATTAAAATTATCCAAATTTCTAAAATACTTGAAATATAATTACTTGGAAGCAAATATTTGGTTTAGTTCCGAG